ACCGCTTTACTCTCTGCTGAGGTACTGACAGTTCCCCTATTCAGAGCTAGTCTTCTCGAAGTTAAGCCTCAGGTGAGTCTCCAGCTCAATTTGTGTGCCTGGCAGAAGTTCCAGTGCCCATCTACTGAAAAGAGGTAGAAACTTCTCTTTCTCTGTCAGGATCTCTGACTAAACTAAAGCATCACACACAAAGTTGGCATTTTTTGTTCAAACAGGAAAGACTTGAAAGACTTCATTCCCAGCATGCCCTGTTCCCAGTGCTCGTCTTGTCTATAGCTGGATGAAAAAGCATGAACATGTGTATTTCAGTAGATAGTGCTAAAATGCCCTCTGAAAAGATCTTGCAGCTATTTTAAAGGAATGTTGGAAGGACACGTACCATGCACAGCTATCTGATATATGTTAATAACTCCAAGTTCTACTAACTTAAGATCTAGCCTAACTCCCCATCAGGCCTACACTAACCTAACGAATTACTTGAGCCCACCCAGTCCCTTTAAATATGGGGCTATGCTACAACCAACCAAGGGATAAAAGTGTTCTCTCTCAACCTTTCCTGAACTATTCCAGAAAAAGGATTGCCCAAAGCTGAACATAACCCTAAGTAACAAAGAATCTTATAACTTCAGTTGGTACATCTATATTTCTCAATTAGGCTGACTTCACTGGCCAATTTAAGGATTTTACCACTTCCTTCTGAGATATACCAGAGTGTCTCTGCTCCAGAAAATAAGAGGCCCACAGTAAATGTCTCTCATATATCCTCATGGCAGAGTACCATGGTACATGTACAATGAATGCGTGAACAAATTTTGAATGTCAGCCTCTCAGAACATGGAGTATTTGCTATTATAAAACCATCCTCAAGTTTCAGAGATGGTACATTAAAGGAAAAGTAAAATGAACTACAACATTCTTGAAAACGAAGAATATTCCTTACGATATGACATTGCCACAAGACACTGTAGCAAAGAGCCTCTTTCACCGACCTCATTTTCCCTTTTTCCTTGTTGCGCTGCACAACTCGGCTGGTGGACTTGATGTACAGGTGCCGGTGCAGCTCGTCGATGAGAACCAAGTGGAGGTTCATCTTCTTGCTGTGAAGCTCCAGCCTGAGGTCACTTAGTCCTTCCACCTGCAGCAGGGGGCCCTCCAAAGACTCAACTGCTGACACCTGAAAAGAGAAGACAAGAAAACCAATTAAGTACAACCAAATAACCTAGCGATACTGTAAATAAGACTCTTTTTTAAAAGGCACTATCAAAAGGGAGTTTATGAGAACCTTATCAGCATATATAAGACTTGGCAGAGTATAAGGTGGATAGGCCTAGTCCTGCCCTTCAAGGGTTTACCACCTAAGATAGAAAATGATAAAGTAATCTTGACAAAGATATACATGACAGCAGATACAGCAGCACAAAGCTGTACACACAATTCATTCCCACACACACACGGCTTGTCAATGGACACGTGTAGAGAGCGCCCCAATTAAATGATTGTATCATTCATATTCTCATAAGAATCCCATGTATTCATGATTTAAATCAACCCGTAATCAAAGTTGGCCTTTTAAAACTAAGACTAAATAAAAAACACTATATGAATGTTTTAATAATAACTTATTCTCGCTGCAATCATGAGACAGAGCTTGGTAGCCTAAGTCACATGTATGTCTAAATGGAGTCAGGGGCTCTCTCACTTCTTTCTCATATACACACACACACGTGTATGTATATATGCATTTTTTACACGAATGCTACAAGCAGACAATAGAAGCCCTCACCTCTCCTTGGCCTGATCCAGTATGATAGAAGAAATAGGACATGAATGGTGAATAGAAGATAAAATACAAAAAGGAAGATACTCCTGGTGCAAAATGCTTTGGGAGATTTAAAAAAAAATGAATAGGCCGAATCAAAGTGGTGTAGGAATGCTTAAAATAAATGGAGAACATGAAAGATTCAGGGAACCTGGAGCAACTCACTTTGAAACTCCAAGTGGTAA